CCAAAGTTTCTGGCCGCTCTGCTGGTTAGGAGTAAAAGTCCTGCATTAAAATGTGACTTCAGTAAAAGTACGTGATATAATCAGGTCTTAAAGTATTAAAGCAGTAAACTGTCACAGGTTCTTCTTCCTCCTCAGTAAAGTGCAGCAGGATGTTGAGCTGCAGCTCCTTCTCAGCTGATCAGTTTCAGACTGCAGCTGATGAGTCTTTCATTCTGGATCAGCCTGCTGATTATTTCCTTCCTCCCAAAGAGACGCCTTCAAACATCTCAGTTATTACAATCATTGAGAGGAGAAGCTGGAACATGAATGGATTTTGCATTAAACGATCAAAATATTTGCTGATTACTCTTCAGTCAGTCTAATAATCCTCCAGCTGCACTTTAGAAACTGTTGGAGTTCCATTTTAACCAAACATCAGATTTTAGAAACTCTTCATGTGAGTAAAAATCTGACTTTGTAAAGTAACTGAATCTGTCAGAGAAAAACATTTCCCTCTGAGACGGAGCAGAAAGTACTCAAGTAAAGTACAAACACTTACAGTAAAAGTCCTGAGTTACTGTCAGCAGGGGGCAGCAGCTCGGACTTCCTGCATCAACACACACACTCAACAGCGACCAATCGGACCGAAGAGGAAAACCGCTGACCAACCAGAGGCTGCTGTCTCTGCTCTGTGGCCCCGCCCACGGGGTCTATATAAAGACCCTGTCAGAGCCCAGGAGCTGAACCAGGAACTGAACCAGGAACTGAACCAGGAGCTGAACCAGGAGCTGTCACTACCTGCTGTCCAGTGCTTGTGCTGAATCGTGATGGTGGTCCAGGTGAAAGGAGGTGTGGAGGTGATGGAGGGGAACCAGCAGAGCCTGGAGGCCAACATCCTGCTGCTGGGGGCCCACAGCGTCGGGAAGTCCGGTACGAGACCCAGATCTGATTTTTAGTTTAACTTCAATTTTCAGTTTCCTGTCATTGTTATTGTTATTGTTATTGTTATTATTATTATTGTTGTTGTTATGAGGTCAATATTGCTGCTTTAAATGATTATTATAAACTGTGTATACACAGTAGTTAGTATTAATAATAATGAGTACAGATAGTGTAAAACAATTGCAGTATTGGACAGAGTACAGAACATATATATGTATTATTATGTACAATTACACGTCTGTCATGCAGCCAGCTGTAAAAGACATTTTCACACTCATATATATATTTTTATTGTATACTTATATGTTATGTACCAACTTCCTAGTAGTATTTCTGTTCCTTTATACTTTGATGTGTGAGCTGATCTCGTAGAGATGATTCAGGTCAGACGTTTAGAAACTGGGACGAACAGTTTTGTTTTGTTTTCAGATTCTATTTTAAGTGAATCAGGTGACTCAGCGATCAGCTGTCTGACCTGCAGGATCATCATGTGATCAGTCTGACTTTAACGAGCCGTCTCTCTGTCTGCAGCGCTCACCGTCAGGTTTCTGACCCGGAGGTTTATCGGAGAGTACGGGGACATCGGTGAGGACGCCGCTCAACGCGATGATGTCACACTGTTTCACGACTCCGTGTTGACGCTGAACTGACGAGTCGTTTTGTCCTTTCAGAGTCCGTTTACAGCCGAGTGGACCGGATCGCCGGTCAGAAGGTCTGCTTCAACATCTGGGACTCTGTGTACTCACAGGTAACGTGTTAGTTTGAAATCAGAAGCTGTTTCTGATTTATATCTGAACGTTTCTGGACGCCGGCAGTCTGAAGAAGCCCAGCCAATCAGCTGAGAGCTTTTCTTTCTTCAACAGTCAGTTTGATCACAGCAGCATCATGGAACTGCAGCCAAATATATATAATATTTATAATAATATCTCCAGATTTTCATGTGAAGTATTCTGAGACTTTATGAGTTTAAATATTTGACTGAATGTGTTTTTGTTTCGTCTTCAGGACGGAGAGCAGAACCCGTCCGTCAGTGTCAAACAGCTGCAGTGGGCTGACGGGATGATCCTGGTCTACAGCATCTGCGACCGCCGCAGCTTCGACGTGGTCCGCCAGCAGCTGCAGCAGATACGCCGCATCAGGAAGCCGTCGTCCGTCCCGTCGTCATCGTGGGGAACAAACAGGACCTCCGGCGTCACCGCAGCGTCTCCAGCGAGGAGGGACGGCTCTTCGCTCTGTCCCAGCACTGCGGCTTCTTCGAGGTGTCGGCGGCCGAGACGTACCACGGCGTCCTGCCCGTGTTTCACCGGCTGGTCGACCTCGTCAGAGAGAGCCGAGCGCTGAGGAAGAGCTCGGCCGGCGTCCGAGGGATCGTCCGGAGCGTGTCGGCCGTGTTCGGCAAGAAACGAGCAGAGTAGACGGGAAGGAAAGAACTCGCTGGAGGGATTAAAACCAGAGAAGAAGAGTTTTTACTGCGCCTGACGTCACAGTGACATCAGAGCGATGACGCCTTGTCTGTCGCTTCATGAGAAGAGGTCAAAGGTCAGACGTGTGATGGACAGAAGCAGGTGGAGAAAAGGTTTCCATGGCGAAGTTTGTAAAAGCAAAGTCAAAGACGTGTTTTTGTTCCAGAGCGACGAGAAAACACGTGAGGAGCCTTGGAGGCGAGCTGCCGCCATGGCAACGACTGACATATCTCAGCAGCTGATGGTTCCCTCAGGATGAAGAACTTTTCCTCATCAGGTCAACGCACTTTAGTCAATGACCAAACACCTGCAGAACTGGCGACGTTCCCATCAGCTGCTAATTAGCTAATGTTAGCATGCTAACACGCTAAACCGAGCTGCGGTCTAGCAGCCGTGGTGACAGCCGGTTGAATCCTCTAAAAGCTGCTTCACTGCTTCCTTTCTCACCTCCTTCAGCGCAGGGAACACTGGCGCTCCTTTATGGATGGAGGGCCAGAACCCGGACTTTGAACCAGGAGACCGGGAGTTCGTGTCCCGTGTGAAACAAAACAACATATAATATTACGTGTTAACTGACCTACGTAGTTATTTTAACCCAAACCATGAGCTCTTCCGAACCTCAATCAGGACCAACCTGCAACGTTTCATGACTTTAATTATGTGCCGTTTCAAAATGCTAGTTTTATTTTGAAAGAGACATAATTTCCCTTGTGCTGTAATATCCTGTGAATAAATACATTCATAATGCAGATGTAGTGTGATGCAAACAGACGTCAGCATGTTGAAACGTATTTTTATTGCCTCAGATGTTTGTGATTTTTCTGATTAAAGTCTGAATGAACAAAGTGAGTCTGAGTCAGTTTTCATACAAACACACTGAAGTGAAGCTGCAGAGAAGCTTTATTTTAAGATGTCAGTCAGCAGCATGTTGGAACAGATGCGCTTTACTTTTTACATGAAGGCTTCGTAGATACAGAGTTACACAAACAGCAGAGAAACAGAGGCCTGGTCCACGCGTACAGAGATTTTTATAAACGGGGTTTTTCCTCCTCGTCTAAATAAAAAGATCACGACGCAAACTCTGACGTCACGAACCCAAAACTCAGTTTCACTGTCTGCACACTTCAAACAGGGTTTCTGCAGATCTTCACCCTGGAAGGAGTTTTCAAAAAGGTCTTCAGTGACCTAAAACACGCTATGTTTTTAGAAATACGTGTAGCCGTGGACAGGGCTGGATTCTGTTGATAAATTCAAATAATAATATATTGTTTAAGGATAAAACTTTCTCACACTCATGTCCGCCTTGAACTGAAAGTCCGTTACGATCAAGTTTCGTTTCAGATAAAGATTTTCAGCCAACAGCACATGAACAGGTCGAGTCGTTTGTTATTCAATCAAATCATTTAATCACAGTCTGTGTTTTCGGAGCTCTCTGCACTGTTGCCGTAGTCGCTGCCGTCACAGTGGGAGCCGTCAGTGTCTCGATTGGCGCTGTCTGCGCATTCATCGTTATCTGCATCATTGCCGCAGTCTGAACTTTCAGTGTTGCCGCGATCAATTCTGTCGCTGTTGTCAGGTTTATCAGTGCAGTCTGCGTTTTTGCCATAGTCGGTGTTGTCGCTATAGTCAGTGGCGTCACCATATTCGCCACAGTCTGCATTGTCACCGCGGTCTGTCTTGTCGGTGTTGTCGCTATAGTCAGTGGCGTCACCATATTCGCCACAGTCTGCATTGTCACCGCGGTCTGCCTTGTCGGTGTTGTCGCTATAGTCAGTGGCGTCACCATATTCGCCACAGTCTGCATTGTCACCGCGGTCTGCCTTGTCGGTGTTGTCGCTATAGTCAGTGGCGTCACCGTATTCGCCACAGTCTGCATTGTCACCGCGGTCTGCCTTGTCGGTGTTGTCGCTATAGTCAGTGGCGTCACCGTATTCGCCACAGTCTGCATTGTCACCGCGGTCTGCCTTGTCTGTGTTGTCGCTATAGTCAGTGGCGTCACCGTATTCGCCACAGTCTGCATTGTCACCACGGTCTGCCTTGTCGGTGTTGTCGCTATAGTCAGTGGCGTCACCGTATTCGCCACAGTCTGCATTGTCACCGCGGTCTGCCTTGTCTGTGGTGTCGCTATAGTCAGTGGCGTCACCGTATTCGCCACAGTCTGCATTGTCACCGCGGTCTGCCTTGTCGGTGTTGTCGCTATAGTCAGTGGCGTCACCGTATTCGCCACAGTCTGCATTGTCACCGCGGTCTGCCTTGTCGGTGTTGTCGCTATAGTCAGTGGCGTCACCGTATTCGCCACAGTCTGCATTGTCACCACGGTCTGCCTTGTCGGTGTTGTCGCTATAGTCAGTGGCGTCACCGTATTCGCCACAGTCTGCATTGTCACCGCGGTCTGCCTTGTCTGTGTTGTCGCTATAGTCAGTGGCGTCACCGTATTCGCCACAATCTGCATTGTCACTGCGGTTTGTGCTGTCGGCACATTCAGCACTGTTGATGTGATCAATGGTGTCAGCATTCTCGCCATTGTTGGCACTGTCGATGTTGTCGCCGTTGTCAGGGGAGCTAGTGCTCAGGTACTCGAGGGCCTTCTGGCTCTGAGAGATAAATTGTTTGAGCGGAGCGAGGAACAGCTCTGTGGCAGACGGCCGGCGGTGGACGACGCCGTTGGAAGGGACAGGCAGGTCCTCCAATTCCAAGGCCAGGGGGTCCTTCAGGCTGGACTGGCTTCCGTTGGGGGGCAGGGGGCTCTGGGGGCTTCCCGAGCCTCGGGCGGTGAGGGAGTAGAGACTCCGACGCCGGCGAGGACGGCCGTCCATCGCCTTCAGGAACAGACTGTTAGCTGAGCTGCGACGAGACGAACTGTCGGCCATGGAGCCATCCTGGCTCAGGAAGTCCTTCACCTCCTGATCAGACGGCTGCTGCAGCTGAAAAACGTTTAGATTTACATTATTTTCAGACTCCTAACTATAATATATTAAACAGTAAGTGTGTATGCTTGTCGGACCCGTGGAAGCAGAACACCTGGTACTTTCATTCATTCAACACTAAAATGTTTTGAATGTTTGCTGGAAAAACTCTAAACTAAGCTTTCTGAGAGAGTTTAGCAGGTTTCACTTCATAGTCGGAGTAAAATGAAATGAAATAAAACAATATTCGGCAGGAAGCTGGAAGAATCCAACACATTCTCAATCCCAACTCATCACACAGGGATACTTGGTCAGACCCTTTGCTTTTTTATGCCCTGGGTCACTTTAGCAACGTTTTTTGACATTTAGTGCTCGAAGGTCACGTTAGCAACAGTAAATATGCAATTTACATAACTTAAATAAAAACAATCAATGTTGACTTTTTGTTTCACATCTACCTTTGGCGTTGAAAACTGATGCTGTGGCGCTCCCCAGTGTGTTAAAAACTGACGCTAATGGGTCTTAAGCATGCGTGACGTCTTTGTTGCATGTACGGGATCAAAAAATTTGGCCAGTGCAGATTCATCTGTATGCAGATGATATAGTTTTCTATACAGTGGTCTAAATCCAGATGTTTCTGCTAAAAGGTAGATGGTGAAGCAGAGCCCTGTAGTCAATTAATCAATTGGTTCATTGACAAAGAAATGATCTTTAACTAGTTTAATATTTAAAGGTTCCAGTTTCACAGTCTGTAAAATGAATCTTTCGGATTTGGAAAAAAAAAAAGACATGACAGAGAAATCTGAGAAAATAGAGATTTTATATTTTATGTAAAAAAAACTTGTGTCAACAGAGCTGTTTTTTAACGCTTTTACAAGTAATTTAGAAGAACTTGCTGGTCCAGACCTGTCGGTGGACTCGTGTGATCAGTCTTCCGTTATCCCACACCGCCTCTTTCATTAATGGATTGTATATTTCATTGTTTTAAAGTAATTTAAAATAAAATAAATTGTTAAAATAAACTGACTCTGCACCTCAAATTATAAAATCATTCTAAATGTATTTATAAAGGCTAACAATATCAATTTTGAGGTACTTGTACTTTGAGTAATTCAACTTTTGGTATGTGATGTATATTTTGATGCTAGTACTTTTACTTAAGTAGTATTTTGAATGCAGGACTTGTAACAGAGTAGTCTACACTGTGGTAGTAATACTTCTACGGAAGTAAATAACTAAGTACTTCTTCCAGCACCGACAAAGAGCAGGTTCCATGTGAGTTTCAGATGTTTCAGGTGTGTCTCAGCTGTGTCTTAATTGTGTCTCAGATGTTTTAGGCGTGTCTCAGATGTTTCAGGTGTGTTTCAGGTGTGTCTATTGTGTTTCATTTGTGTCCTAGATGTTTCAGGTGTGTCTATGGTGTGTCTCAGTTGTTTCAGTTGTGTCTCAGGTGTGTCTCAGTTGTCTAAGTTGTGTCTCAGATGTTTTAGGCGTGTCTCAGATGTTTCAGGCGTGTCTCAGTTGTTTCAGGTGTGTCTCAGGTGTCTCAGTTGTTTCAGGTGTATCAATGATGTCTCAGTTGTGTCTCAGATGTTTTAGGGGTGTCTCAGATGTTTCAGGTGTGTCTCAGGTGTCTCAGTTGTTTCAGGTGTATCAGTGGTGTCTCAGTTGTGTCTCAGATGTTTTAGGCGTGTCTCAGATGTTTCAGGTGTGTCTCAGGTGTCTATGTTGTGTTTCAGATGTTGTAGGCGTGTCTCAGATGTTTCAGTTGTGTCTCAGATGTTTTAGGCATGTCTCAGGTGTGTCTCAGATGTTTCAGGTGTGTCTCAGCTGTGTCTCAGTTGTTTCAGGTGTGTCTCAGCTGTGTCTCAGTTGTGTCTCAGGTGTGTCCATGGTGTTTCAGTTGTGTCTCAGATGTTTCAGGTGTGTCTCAAGGATCTCGGTTATTTCAGGTGTGTCTATGGTGTCTCAGTTGTGTCTCAGATATTTTAGGCGTGTCTCAGTTGTTTCAGGTGTCTCAGTTGTTTCAGGTGTGTCTATGGTGTCTCAGTTGTGTCTCTGATGTTTCAGGTGTGTCTCAAGGATCTCGGTTATTTCAGGTGTGTCTATGGTGTCTCAGTTGTGTCTCAGATGTTTCAGGTGTGTCTATGGTGTCTCAGTTGTGTCTCAGATGTTTCAGGTGTGTCTATGGTGTCTCAGTTGTGTCTCAGATATTTTAGGTGTGTCTCAGTTGTTTCAGGTGTCTCAGTTGTTTCAAGAGTGTCTCAGGGATCTCGGTTATTTCAGGTGTGTCTATGGTGTCTCAGTTGTGTCTCTGATGTTTCAGGTGTGTCTCAGATGTTTCAGGTGTGTCTCAGTTGTGTCTCAGATGTCTCAGTTGTGTCTCAGTTGTGTCTCAGATGTTTCAGGTGTGTCTCAGATGTCTCAGGCGTGTCTCAGTTGTTTCAGGTGTCTCAGGTGTCTCAGTTGTGTCTCAGGTGTGTCTCCGATGTTTCAGGTGTCTCAGGTGTGTTTCAGGTGTGTCTCAGGTGTGTCTCAGTTGTGTCTCAGGTGTGTCTCCGATTTTTCAGCTATGTCAGGTGTCTCCGATGTGTCTCAGGTGTGTCACAGATGTTTCAGGTGTGTCTCAGGTGTGTCTCAGATGTTTCAGGTGTGTCAGGTGTCTCAGTTGTGTCTCAGGTGTGTCTCCGATGTTTCAGCTGTGTCAGGTGTCTCCGATGTGTCTCAGGTGTGTCACAGATGTTTCAGGTGTGTCTCAGATGTCTCAGTTGTATCTCAGGTGTCTCTCAGGTGTGTCTCAGATGTTTCAGGTGTGTCTCAGATGTTTCAGGTGTGTCTCAGCTGTGTCTCAGTTGTGTCTCAGGTGTGTCCATGGTGTTTCAGTTGTGTCTCAGATGTTTCAGGTGTGTCTCAAGGATCTCGGTTATTTCAGGTGTGTCTATGGTGTCTCAGTTGTGTCTCAGATATTTTAGGCGTGTCTCAGTTGTTTCAGGTGTCTCAGTTGTTTCAGGTGTGTCTATGGTGTCTCAGTTGTGTCTCTGATGTTTCAGGTGTGTCTCAAGGATCTCGGTTATTTCAGGTGTGTCTATGGTGTCTCAGTTGTGTCTCAGATGTTTCAGGTGTGTCTATGGTGTCTCAGTTGTGTCTCAGATGTTTCAGGTGTGTCTATGGTGTCTCAGTTGTGTCTCAGATATTTTAGGTGTGTCTCAGTTGTTTCAGGTGTCTCAGTTGTTTCAAGAGTGTCTCAGGGATCTCGGTTATTTCAGGTGTGTCTATGGTGTCTCAGTTGTGTCTCTGATGTTTCAGGTGTGTCTCAGATGTTTCAGGTGTGTCTCAGTTGTGTCTCAGATGTCTCAGTTGTGTCTCAGATGTTTCAGGTGTGTCTCAGATGTCTCAGGCGTGTCTCAGTTGTTTCAGGTGTGTCAGGTGTCTCAGTTGTGTCTCAGGTGTGTCTCCGATGTTTCAGGTGTCTCAGGTGTGTCTCAGATGTTTCAGGTGTGTCTCAGGTGTGTCTCAGTTGTGTCTCAGGTGTGTCTCCGATTTTTCAGCTATGTCAGGTGTCTCCGATGTGTCTCAGGTGTGTCACAGATGTTTCAGGTGTGTCTCAGATGTCTCAGTTGTGACTCAGATGTTTCAGGTGTGTCTCAGGTGTGTCTCAGATGTTTCAGGTGTGTCAGGTGTGTCAGGTGTCTCAGTTGTGTCTCAGGTGTGTCTCCGATGTTTCAGCTGTGTCAGGTGTCTCCGATGTGTCTCAGGTGTGTCACAGATGTTTCAGGTGTGTCTCAGATGTCTCAGTTGTATCTCAGGTGTCTCTCAGGTGTGTCTCAGATGTTTCAGGTGTGTCTCAGATGTTTCAGGTGTGTCTCAGGTGTCTCAGTTGTGTCTCAGTTGTGTCTCAGATGTCTCAGTTGTGTCTCAGATGTTTCAGGTGTGTCTCAGGTGTCTCAGATGTGTCTCAGTTGTGTCTCAGATGTCTCAGTTGTGTCTCAGTTGTGTCTCAGATGTTTCAGGTGTGTCTCAGATGTCTCAGGTGTGTCTCAGTTGTGTCTCAGATGTTTCAGGTGTGTCTCAGATGTCTCAGGTGTGTCTCAGATGTTTCAGGTGTGTTTCAGGTGTGTCTCAGATGTTTCAGGTGTCTCAGTTGTGTCTCAGGTGTGTCTCAGATGTTTCAGGTGTCTCAGATGTTTCAGGTGTGTCTCAGATATCTCAGTTGTGTCTCAGGTGTGTCTCAGATGTTTCAGGTGTGTCTCAGGTGTGTCTCATATGTTTCAGGTGTGTCTCAGATGTCTCAGTTGTGTCTCAGGTGTGTCTCAGATGTTTCAGGTGTGTCTCCGATGTGTCATAGGTGTGTCACAGATGTTTCAGGTGTGTCTCAGATGTCTCAGTTGTGTCTCAGGTGTCTCTCAGTTGTGTCTCAGATGTCTCAGTTGTATCTCAGGTGTGTCTCAGGTGTCTCAGTTGTTTCTCAGTTGTGTCTCAGTTGTCTCTCAGGTGTGTCTCAGATGTTTCAGGTGTGTCTCAGATGTCTCAGGTGTGTCTCAGTTGTGTCTCAGATGTCTCAGGTGTGTCTCAGGTGTGTCTCAGTTGTGTCTCAGATGTTTCAGTTGTGTCTCAGATGTCTCAGGTGTGTCTCAGTTGTGTCTCAGATGTTTCAGGTGTGTCAGTGTCTCAGTTGTGTCTCAGATGTTTCAGGTGTGTCTCAGATGTCTCAGATGTTTCAGGTGTGTCAGTGTCTCAGGTGTGTCTCAGATGTTTCAGGTGTGTCTCAGATGTCTCAGGTGTGTCTCAGTTGTGTCTCAGATGTTTCAGGTGTGTCTCAAATGTCTCAGGTGTGTCTCAGATGTTTCAGGTGTGTCAGTGTCTCAGGTGTGTCTCAGATGTTTCAGTTGTGTCTCAGATGTCTCAGTTGTGTCTCAGATGTTTCAGGTGTGTCTCAGGTGTCTCAGATGTGTCTCAGTTGTGTCTCAGATGTCTCAGTTGTGTCTCAGTTGTGTCTCAGATGTCTCAGGTGTGTCTCAGTTGTGTCTCAGTTGTGTCAGGTGTGTCTCAGATGTCTCAGGTGTGTCTCAGATGTTTCAGGTGTGTCAGTGTCTCAGGTGTGTCTCAGATGTTTCAGGTGTGTTTCAGGTGTGTCTCAGATGTCACAGGTGTGTCTCAGATGTTTCAGGTGTCTCAGTTGTGTCTCAGGTGTGTCTCAGATGTCTCAGGTGTGTCTCAGATGTCTCAGTTGTGTCTCAGGTGTCTCTCAGTTGTGTCTCAGATGTCTCAGTTGTATCTCAGGTGTGTCTCAGGTGTCTCAGTTGTTTCTCAGTTGTGTCTCAGTTGTCTCTCAGGTGTGTCTCAGATGTCTCAGTTGTGTCTCAGATGTTTCAGTTGTGTCTCAGGTGTGCCAGATGTTTCAGGTGTCCCAGATGTGTCTCAGGTGTGTCTCCGATGGTTCAGCTGTGTCAGGTGTCTCCGATGTGTCATAGGTGTGTCACAGATGTTTCAGGTGTGTCTCAGATGTCTCAGTTGTGTCTCAGGTGTCTCTCAGTTGTGTCTCAGATGTCTCAGTTGTATCTCAGGTGTGTCTCAGGTGTCTCAGTTGTTTCTCAGTTGTGTCTCAGTTGTCTCTCAGGTGTGTCTCAGATGTCTCAGTTGTGTCTCAGATGTCTCAGTTGTGTCTCAGATGTTTCAGTTGTGTCTCAGGTGTGCCAGATGTTTCAGGTGTCCCAGATGTGTCTCAGGTGTGTCTCAGATGTCTCAGGTGTGTCTCAGGTGTGTCTCAGTTGTGTCTCAGTTGTGTCTCAGATGTCTCAGTTGTGTCTCAGGTGTGTCTCAGGTGTCTCAGTTGTGTCTCAGGTGTCTCTCAGTTGTGTCTCAGATGTCTCAGTTGTATCTCAGGTGTGTCTCAGGTGTCTCAGTTGTTTCTCAGTTGTGTCTCAGTTGTCTCTCAGGTGTGTCTCAGATGTCTCAGTTGTGTCTCAGATGTTTCAGTTGTGTCTCAGGTGTGTCAGATGTTTCAGGTGTCCCAGATGTGTCTCAGGTGTGTCTCAGATGTCTCAGGTGTGTCTCAGGTGTGTCTCAGATGTTTCAGTTGTGTCTCAGATGTTTCAGGTGTGTCTCAGGTGTCTCAGTTGTGTCTCAGATGTCTCAGTTGTGTCTCAGTTGTGTCTCAGATGTCTCAGGTGTATCTCAGATGTTTCAGGTGTGTCTCAGATGTTTCAGGTGTGTCAGTGTCTCAGTTGTGTCTCAGATGTTTCAGGTGTGTCTCAGGTGTCTCAGTTGTTTCTCAGTTGTGTCTCAGATGTCTCAGTTGTGTCTCAGTTGTGTCTCAGATGTTTCAGGTGTGTCTCAGGTGTCTCAGATGTGTCTCAGTTGTGTCTCAGGTGTGTCTCAGATGTTTTAGGTGTCTCAGTTGTGTCTCAGATGTTTCAGGTGTGTCTCAGATGTCTCAGGTGTGTCTCAGGTGTGTCTCAGATGTGTCTCAGTTGTGTCTCAGATGTTTCAGGTGTGTCTCAGATTTCTCAGGTGTGTCTCAGATGTTTCAGGTGTGTCAGTGTCTCAGTTGTGTCTCAGATGTTTCAATTGTGTTTCAGGTGTCTCAGGTGTGTCTCAGATGTGTCTCAGATGTTTCAGGTGTGTCTCAGGTGTCTCAGATGTTTCAGTTGTGTCTCAGGTGTCTCAGATGTGTCTCAGTTGTGTCTCAGGCGACCCGTCCTGTGAGTCTCACCATGCTGTAGAGCGGTGTGGTGTTGATCAGCAGCTGCAGCAGTATCTTGGACAGTTCCTGCAGGTCTCGGAGCAGCTTCTGGATCTGAACCGGCAGCTCTCTGATCTGACGTACGGGCTGCAGCTCAGCCAACATGGCGGCTTGACCTCTGACCCTGTCCAGGGTCAGCTCCCTGAGACTCTCTGCCCGGTACACCAGCACCATCAGGAGGCTCTGCAGGTACTGCAGCAGCTTACCAACCAGCTCCAGGACCTGACCCAGACCCACCTGCAGGGAACAGACAGCATCAGAAGCTCACATACAGCTAGGGCCAGAGCGAGGCCCCTTGAGCTCCCTGAGGTCCCTGAGGTCCCTGGCAGAATCTGATCCTGCATGTGATTCTCAGGAAACTGCCAGTTTTTAGCAGCTTAATGTTGTGATGAGAAAACGCTGAACACTCAGTAAAAAACCCAAAGAACTAACCTGAACTTACAAGAACAGGAAACACCTTCATCGATTAAAGTCACATTTAAATGTCAGTTTCCTTCTCGTGAACAGAACCACTGACTCAACGTCTGCTAAGTAGCTTTGACCATTTCACGCAGTCTAAACCAGCAGGTGGGCTTTTCTGCCGTGTCACGGAAGTAGAGCTGAAAAGCTTTCCATGAGTCTGACCACTTGGAGGACTGACGTTGAAGTGAGTAAGATGGTTTTGTCAGTTAGATTCACAGAAAACAGTTAGTGTTCCCCTGGGGGGTTTAATCTCTCTGATGCTTCAGCTTGATTTAATCTTTACAGCGCCAATTCATAACAGAAGTCATCGCAGGGCGCTTTTCATGTAGAGCAGGTCCAGACCGTATCTTATCTTATCAAAGATCTCAGAGTATGAAATCCGTCCTCACTGCCTAAAAACTTTCTAACTTGTGAAATGACTCCTCGCTGTGCTGTTTGTCAGAGCTCCAGACTGTGAGCAGCTGCAGGAGACTGATCACTGGGAGCTGATTTAAACGTTTTGGCCAAAATGAACAGATAAAATTGTGTGAGAGCATCTAGCGTCTCGTACGTAAACTCCCCCTCACAGTGACGAGGGAAGGCGACCTGATTCTGTCACTCCTCAGATAACATTTATTCATTTCCCTTCCAAACCACTTATAAAGTTAAGCTGCACATCAGGCAATATGTGACACTATTAAAGTCACTGTCTGCCGTCTGTCACACAGCTTTAAATTGCACGTACATGTAATGGTATTATCTGCCCGGTGTGCTTCTTGCAGCCTGATCATGAGATTCAGCCTGTTTATTTATTTTAGCAGATATAATCTAGAAAGCTTAGTTACCTGCACATTTCACTTTTGTCCCTGGAACTGCAAACTGTCAGAGGACTACAGCACTGTGGTTGACCTGAGATCAGCTCTGGCTTTAGTCTGAACTTAACGTCTGAACACAGGGTCGGGACTTTTCATGAGAATCTTATCAGTAGTTTTTGTCAAAGAGGAAGATTTTAAGCCTCACAACAGAATTTAAGATTCATGAACATGGAGGAACAACATGAATCAATCAGAGAGAGAAACATGTGAAACATATCTGATCAGAGATCAGCGTGAGAGCTGCTGTTAGATTCAGGGTCTCGTTGTTGTGGTCGGTTTCTCTCAGAGAATAGAAACTGAAGCTTCTCCCGGGAAACTCTGCGGACTCTCGGCAGGTATTTGGGTCAGACAGCAGGTGTGACCTCTGACCTCCAAACAGCCAGAACAACACGTGAGGATAGCGGATCTGTCCCAGCACAGTGACGGGCCTAACGAGGCTGCTGATTGGCTCCTGAAACACTGAGTCAGCAGACGGCGGCGACCAGCTGTTCTTAATTATCGTCACAGAACTTTATGCACTTTATGAACGTGATCGTGACTTTAGGTTCTACAGGAGCCAAAAACAGCCAAAGAACAAAGACTCGTTTCAACAGAATTGTTTTGTGAATCCGGTCCGGACCATCGACAAGAGCTCGCTGGTTTCCATCTAATTGAGTCTGAGATTGTGTTTTATAAAGTAAGACAGTTTCATCTCTCCACAGAGCTGCAGCAGCTCGTTACAGCCACAAACAGCAGGTTGTTGTTTTCAGTCGACCTACAGAATCAGCGCAGCAAACGTTTCACAGTGAAGACAACATGAACATTGCATTAACACACAGTGGTGGACAGTAACGAAGTATATTTACTCAAGTACTGTACTTAAGTACAAATTAGAGATACTTGTACTTTACTTGAGTATTTTCTTTCCGTGCCACTTTCTTCTTCTGCTCCGTCTCTGAGGGAGATGTTCTACTTTTTGCTTCACTGCATTTATCTGACAGCTTCAGTTACTTTACAAAGTCAGAGTTTTACCAGCGGTGGATGAAGTATTCAGATCATTTACTTCAGTAAAAGTACTAATACCTTGCTGTAAAAATGCTCTGTTACAAGTAAAAGACCTGCTTTGAAATGTTCCTGCTGTAGTTGCTGAGGTTGAACTGATCAGTTTCAGACTGCAGCTGATGATTCTTTTCATTCTGGATCAATCAGCTGATTATTTTCTCCATGAATGGATTGTGAAATGAAAACGGTGAGAAATGTTGTCCCAGTTTCTCAGAGAGACTCCTTCACACTGTTTGTTCTGTCAGTTTAAACCTCAAAATGATTCAAAACACATTAAAATAATCATAATGAAAAAAGAAAAGCAGCAGATCTTCACCTCAAATGTGTTCTGATGTATAATAGTACACCAGGGGACATTTTACATGTAATACTTTAAGTAACATTTTAAACGCTGTACTTTTACTTGTAACAGAGTATTTTTACAGCAAGGTATTAGTACTTTTACTGAAGGATCCGAATGCTTCGTCCACCTCTGGTGACATGATGTTACAACATGAAGAGACACGTCCAGTGTCCAGCAGCCTGGTGAGTTCGTGTTCGAGCACGAGGAGCCTGAACTGTTATCGCTCCATCACTTCAGACGCTTCATGCAGCACGTAGGCAGAGTTCAGCCGTCTGCAGAGGAAACAGATCCGTTTATCTGTAATGGAGCTCATTTTCTCTGAAGTCTGTCTGCTGCCACGTCCACATTCACTGACCAGGAGGCTCAGAGTGTCCACGACACAGATGTTTAGGGCCAGACATCGTTTCCTCGTGCACTCATGACATTTTTGGATAATTTGCTTCCATAAAATGTCAAAACAGAAGACACCAAAACAAACATTTAGGTGTTATTTAACTGCAGTTTGTCTCTGTGTGTCTGCAGATTTCTCTTAAATTCACCAGAAGATCGCATTAGATTCTCCTCATTTGCATATTTAAACTGAACATTTCAGAAATCTTATAAAAAAGTGTTTTGATGTGGGTAATCAACCTGAGAAGCTTGATGATGATCTGTTCACCTGCAGTGTTTTGCTAAATGTTTAGAATTTTACAATATGCACATTAGTTTTTCCTCAAACTCTGAGCCTGAAATCTCCTCTTCAGCAGCTCTGACAGACTCCAGACTCTCCAGATTTATTCCTGACTATATTCTGAAGGTTTTTCCAGACGGGTTTGTTCATATATCATTTACAGCCTGACTAGAGAACATTTTATTCCCCAAAGCAGGTCAGAAATATATTGTTTTTAAGCCTGTTACAGTATTTTCAGATTTATGAAAGGATAAAAAGAGATATTTAAAATCCCCTCAGTAAAAACATTTGAGTCTCTTTCTATTTCAGAAAACCTGTAATACAAAAGAATATTGTCTTAATGTGAGTTATCAACTAGGAAAGTTTCTTGCTCATATCCGTTAGTTTAATGTTTTGCCCTGGTCACCTGGAGTTGTTGGACATTCTGTTTCTGTTTCTTTGTGTTCAGTATCTTTCTGTATTTGTCATTTTCACGCAGTTGATTTCTCTCGTCTCGACACTTAACACCCTCCATGCTTCGTCTCTTTCTCTCGTTAATCTTTAGCGTTACCTTCATCGGAGGCCTCACTGACCCTCGACCGACTGTCCATCGCTGCTGTCCTCCATCTTTGTTTGTGAGCAACATTAAACACTGTGTTTGTTAGACTCACAACACATCGCATCAAATCTCAGCACTGAGTGAACACGCTGACACTGATGCTGTTGTTCTGAAGGTCACCTGCTGCAGCTGCAGGTTCAGCTCCAACTCTCCCTTTGGTTCCTCAGAAGACACAACAGGACGACCAGGACTGAACTCAGTCATTTTCTTTTGTGTTGTTCATTTAAGATGAGCTCAGACTGACTCAAACTGACTCAGACTGATTCAGACTGATTCAGACTGATACAGACTGATTCAGACTGACTCAGACTGATTCAGACTGATTCAGACTGATACAGACTGATTCAGACTGACTCAGACTGATTCAGACTGATTCAGACTGACTCAAACTGATTCAGACTGACTCAGACTGACTCAAACTGATTCAGACTGACTCAAACTGATTCAGACTGATTCAGACTGACTCAGACTGATTCAGACTGATTCAGACTGACTCAAACTGATTCAGACTGATTCAGACTGACTCAGACTGATTCAGACTGACTCAGACTGACTCAGACTGACTCAGACTGATTCAAACTGACTCAGACTGATTCAGACTGACTCAGACTGACTCAGACTGACTCAGACTGACTCAAACTGACTCAGACTGATACAGACTGATTCAGACTGGTTCAGACTGATTCAAACTGACTCAGACTGATTCAGACTGACTCAGACTGACTCAAACTGATTCAGACTGATTCAGACTGATTCAGACTGACTCAAACTGATTCAGACTGATACAGACTGATACAGACTGATTCAGACTGGCTCAGACTGACTCAAACTGACTCAAACTGATTCAGACTGGCTCAGACTGACTCAAACTGACTCAGACTGGTTCAGACTGACTCAGACTGACTCAGACTGGTTCAGACTGATTCAGACTGACTCAGACTGACTCAGACTGATTCAGACTGACTCAAACTGATTCAGACTGGTTCAGACTGACTCAGACTGGTTCAGACTGACTCAGACTGGTTCAGACTGGTTCAGACTTGTTCAGACTGATTCAGACTGATTCAGACTGACTCAGACTGATTCAGACTGGTTCAGACTGACTCAGACTGATTCAGACTGGCTCAGACTGACTCAAACTGATTCAGACTGGTTCAGACTGATTCAGACTGATTCAGACTGGTTCAGACTGATTCAGACTGACTCAGACTGACTCAGACTGACTCAAACTGACTCAGACTGACTCAGACTGACTCAAACTGACTCAGACTGGTTCAGACTGACTCAGACTGACTCAGACTGGTTCAGACTGGTTCAGACTGACTCAGACTGGTTCAGACTGGTTCAGACTGATTCAGAGACTGACTTAGACTGATTCAGACTGATTCAGACTGACTCAGACTGATTCAGACTGATTCAGACTGACTGAAACTGACTGAAACTGACTCAGACTGACTCAGACTGATTCAGACTGACTCAGACTGATTCAGACTGACTCAAACTGATTCAGACTGATTCAGACTGACTCAGACTGATTCAGACTGACTCAAACTGACTCAGACTGACTCAAACTGACTGAAACTGACTCAAACTGACTGAAACTGACTCAGACTGACTCAGACTGATTCAGACTGACTCAGACTGACTCAGACTGACTCAGACTGATTCAGACTGACTCAGACTGACTCAGACTGACTCAGACTGATTCAGACTGATTCAGACTGACTCAGACTGACTCAGACTGATTCAGACTGACTCAAACTGACTCAGACTGGCTCAAACGGACGTGAAGCTAAAGCCTACCGATCACACAGATCAAGTGAACCAACGATTGAGACAGAAGACAACGATATTAAGGATCAACACTGTTCCTGTACAGCTGGTCGGGCCTCTGTTCATTATTACAGTCACTAAAAAGCAGAACAGCAGGGCTTTATTACATTACATTCAGTAGGAAGTTAGCTAGCGTTAGCTAACTAACATTACATTAGGAACGATCCACAGCCAAAATTTTTCTGGATTTATTTTAGGTTTTGGAAAGATGCAAGATGCCCCAGGAACAGCGTTTGACCAGAGCCAAAAAAAGCTAGAAAACTTTTTGCATTAGAGTCAATGGAGCGCAGCCACAAGTTTCTGACCTCAGTTGGTGAGAGTCCTGTGCTGTGATTGTAAAGCTGTGTATTCGGGGCGTGGCTTAGTAAAGGGTCAATCACGTTGCCATGTCGGCAGTGTGGAAGCATTTTAAAGTGTCGACGTTTGCAGACGCTGTTCTGCTGAACTGTCTCCAGCACATCCGCTCCATCTGTGGCTGACTTCTTAGTAAAGAACCGCTTTGAGTGTTTCTGTCACTCGTCTGTTAGAAAGAGACTAAGCTGGCCGCACATACATTTGGAGTGCACACGTATTCAAGCCTTTACGGTAAGTGAAGTGGCCCAGAGCGAGCTGACAGTCAGGTTAGAGACTTTATCCTGTCAGTTTGTCTCTTTACAAAGACAAGTGCTGCAGTATGAGAGTCCTACCTGAAGAGAGGCTGTGAAGTCTTCATGTTACGCCGTACGAGAACCACATACAACATTATTTATCAAACTGGGTCGGACTGGATGAATTTGGATGAATTGTGGAGAATCTAACTGATTTAACGATGTGCAGCATGTCCATACTGACATATTGATCACACGATTAAACATTAATATTTGTATTAACGATCTAAGCAGCTTAGAAGCAGCTAAAGCGGCGACCCCGCGGGGTTTAACAGGTTTTATACATCCAAAGAACTTAAAACTATAAAAACCAGACCAGGCGTCAAATTGAGGAAGGCGTTTATTTGTCAAAATGTGTTCCCACAGCAGGCCAGTAAACGGGACAGGCGGCTATTTGGGACTGATTCAATAATTCTGGATTTATTGAAGTTTTACCTGACCCTCTCAGGCCCCGGACCCCCCCACCATAGTCTCGTTACTCTAAGGATGAAAGAATTAGCTGCAATAAATTAGAATTAAATTATCAGCTCGCGTCACAATTAAACAGCCTAACTTTGAGGTTAACTTTGCTAAGAGGCCTGCTGGCTGCTGCTGAGGACAGATCAGACCCAGAGACGTGTGAGTCCGGTCACGTAGCCACACTGTCCTCTGGGAACAGCTGCTTCACATCTGTTTGTCTTCAGATTTTATCACCACTCAAATGACAGAAATGTTCCGAAACACTGAGTTTGTTTTAGAAACAGTTTAAAACATTCTGGGTTCTAACTGAAAGTAAAGGAGCAAGTTTATTTAGGAGTTTTTATCAAAAAATACACTTTATGGCCGAAAGTATGTGGACACTCCTGAGCTAATTCTTTTGTGAGGGGCTGTTGTGGTCTTTGTTAGGGGAAGTCTTAACGCTCCAGCAGATCATTTTAGACAATAGTTCTTCCAACAGTTTGTATTCAGCCTTTAACTGTTTCTGTTAGGAAGTGTCTCGTGCATAAAGCCGCTCCGTAAAGAAATGGTTATCCCAGTTTAACCCTCTTCAACCCCTTTGGGAGGAAGTAGAAGAGATCGTGAGCTGGACACTCTCGTCCATCATCAGAGTCTGCCCTCACAATTTTTTCTTCTGGATGAATGGGATAAAACAGGGAACCAATTACATATTCACGCCTATAGATCCAGAACGTGACGTCATAAAAGTCATGTGTAGGTGTCCCAGTACTTTTGTCCTATATAAAGTACCTCTGCTGCGTCTCTTTACCGCCCTCTGCTGCTTTTAAACATCAGGGATTTGTCTCTAACTGAAATGAGTGATCTGAGTTTCGTCTCACCGCGTACGCTGCGTCTCCCAGCGTCCTGGCGGCTTTCTGCAGCTGCTCCCTGACCTTCATTGTGCGGTGATAAAGCAGCAGGCTGAGTCTCAGCAGGAGGCTGCGGACCCTGGTCCAGAGACTGGGCTCATCGTCCTCATCTTCATCCTCGTACTCCTGCACCATCATCTCCCACTCCCGACCTGACGGACGACAGCAGGGACAAAACACACTTTTCTCACTGAGTGTGAAGCGTCCTGGTGAATGTTTGCACCGATCTGTAACATGGTGATGAGCAGAGAGGTGAAGGAGTCACTTCAACATGTCTGTTTAAGACATTTAACTTCTGCACCACCTCCCCAGCTCAGAGCCCTCACCTTTTTATCACTTTGCAGTTCCCAAACCAAAGCAGGGGACATGCAAACACATTTCAGCACTGATAATAAATCACCAGGTGTCAGATGTTGAGGTGTTTATTGGTATTTACATAGGCTGAAATCATGAGGGGGTTAAATGGGGTCACGATCTCAGACCTGCTCACCTCCAGGTGTTAGGAGCAGGATATGAGCGATCCAATCACTTTAGAGATCCTGAACTGATTTATAACATTAGAATATCTTAAATCATATACAGGAAAATTGTGTGAAGATGCCATGATGTTGATTTTTATTTCATGTCGACATCATCTATCCACTTTAACTTCTAACCTCCAGTGAACACCAGACAGGAGACCTCTCTGAATGATAAAAACAGAGTCTCCTGGTGCCCCACCCCTGCTGATATCAATGAGATGACATAGATAATAGATAATATCAATCAGAGATAATATTTAGAGAGAGATAACATGACATATATTGAGATAATATTAGTGATAATGTTGGAGAAAACATAATAGATAATATTAGAGATAGTGTAGAGATAAAATTTGAAATAATGTAGATAATATGAGATATATTAGAAATAATGAGAGATACATTTAGAGATATAACTTAAATCAAAGATATATTAGAGATAATATTAGTGATAATATTTAAGATGATACAATAGATAATACATTACATCAATTAGAGATAATATTAGTGATAATGTTGAGAAGAAGATAATATGAGATATATTAGAGATAATATTAGAGAGGTAACCATTTTCACAATAAAATGCCCTCTACGTTTATCAGATTATCTGATGTTTACAGCTTCCACTGACTCAAAAGCTTGTGTCCTTCCTTCCTCCACCTCTCTGTACTCTGTGTTTCTGCTCATACTTTCTTAATAATCTAGATTTACAGAATCCTGAAAGCCTCGCTGTGGTCAGAACAATGAAAACATCAGTTTTCTACCCTGATAGACCGTAAAGTAAAACAACAGAATACATAAAACAACATATTTTTGAGGTAAATGCTTTTTTGTTCTGCCTCCTTGAGCATCAGCCTGTGAACACCGCCCCCTTCTGGTTCACTTCAGAACATACAGCAACAGGCAGTAAGGATCAATGAAATTATCTAAAGCAGCTTTTGTTTGAGTTAAATTTTTTTAGAAACAAGTTCAACATTTGGTGGCGACATGTCGATGCTGTGTTCACCTTTTCTGCTGAAAACACAGTTTGCAAATAAATGTAATAAAAACTACAGTTCAGTCACATGATGCTTTTTAGTACCTGTACCTGACCACAGTTACCCAGAATGCCCGTACTGTACTCACGCATCGTGGGTGGGAGGGGCAGGTAGTAGACGGTGGCGTCCTCCAGACGACTCAGCACGTCATCCAGTCCTGTCGTCACAGCCTGGGCCACCTGAACATCCTGCAGCAGCTTGACGGCCAACAGACCGACATCAGACAGACGCTCCAGCAGATTCAGAGTGCTGTCCAAACCGTCCACCACCAACAGCTGCACGTCGTCCAGCGTCAGGAAGAGGGCGTCCTTCAGGTGACCCGCCACCTGAGGACGAGGGGACAACACCTGGTCAACAGGGACAGTCAATCAATTTTTTTAAGATTAACTGACTGAAATGCTCAAAAATTGATTCATCAGCTAATGGTTCCAGCTCCAATCTCTAATATTAGAGATAATATAAGATGATATGTTAAATCATGTCAAATAATTTCAAATGTATTAGAGATCAAACAAGAAACAATATTAGAGATAATGTTAGAGAAATTAGAATAGATAATTTCAGTATAATAAGACCAACTATCAGAAATAAAAAAGATATATTAGATATCTTAGACATTTTTTTTTTTAAATAGAGATAATTTTAGAGATAATGTGGGAGATAATATGATGGATAATGTCAGAAATGTACAATCAGAAATATATTAGAGATGATGAGACTGATGATATTTCATTAGAGATACAATTAGAGAGAATATTAGAGATAATATGACAGATAATATGACTAATATCAGAGATCATGTTGTAGATAATATTAAAGATTTAATTAGAGATGCAATTAGAGAGAATATAAGAGATAATGTTGGAGATAACAGAGATAGGTGTAGAGATTTTTAGGAGAGCTTTTGATTGAACTCTTGCCCTTTTCCTTATTGTTTTTGTTTATTTTATTTTTCATTTTCATGCTCTCCTTGTGTTTTTATTTTTAGCACCTGTTTTATCATGTAGCACTTTGGGATTTGCGTAAATATAAAGTGCATTACAAATTAAATGTATTATTATTATTAGATAATATTAGAGATCAAATTATAGATAATATCAGAGATAATGTTGGATATAATAGAGATAGTTGTAGATGACATTAGAGATCAAATTAGAGATAATATAAGAGATAATGTTGGAGATAATAGAGATAGTTGTAGATGACATTAGAGATAAAATTAGAAATAAAATAAGAGATAATGTTGGAGATAAAATGATAGTTGATGTATGGAGCAGATCAAACCTGGCCTGTTGATTGATTCAAGACGGGGAAGTTTCTCTCCAGACGGTCGAGACCAACCAGAGCAAAACTGTTGGCAATATCAACTGGTGAGGGTGGGGGTGGGGGGGTAGAGAGCGATAAATACAAATAAAAATATAAGTTAAGCGGAATCATCCGTTATCATTACTTCACCTAAACCACAAGAAAGTGACTAATATTATTAAAACCCCTAATATCCTGCTCATATAGTAAAATATTTCTGCAGCAGTATCACTAGTAGTAACAGCGGTAGTAGTATTAGTAGTAGTATTACTCTGCGGCTCCAGGCTCTGGAGGAGTGGGGTTGCTCTGCTTATGGCGACGTGGAAGACTCTGCTAACGCCGACCTCGGCCACTTCTCCCATCAGACCCAGCAGAGGGAAACGACCTTTGACCTCTGAGTACGCTGACGTCACCGACTGTAACGCCGAGCGAACCAGAGGCAGCTGGGACGCTCTCAGCACAGCGCTGGTCTGAAAACAGGGACACGGAAAACTGTGACATCATCGGCGTTTCTCCTCTGAGGTCTCAGGTTTCAGATGTTCTTCTACATGTCAACAAATCTCGTGTTCAGACTCAAACCAGCAACCCGTCTCTCAACACTGTCTGACTTCCTGTCTGTGGCTCTCAGCTCCACGTCAGCCTTTAAAATCACCTCACAGGTATGTGGTTTCATTTGGAGCTGGGCTGTCCACATACTTTTGGCCACATAGTGTAAGAACGAACCTGAGAGGATGATGCAGGAAGAGAGAGAGGCGGCCGTTGTGAAACTCACCTCATGACTTTGCCGCTCAGACGTTTCTCCTTCTGCGAATCTGAGGACGAGGAACAGAGACGAGGTCAGAGACTCTCTCCACATGAGGCAGTCAGCTGCTCAGCCTCCACAAAGATGACCACTGTTGAGCTCCGACCAGCGTGGAAATCAGCTTCTGCCTGCGTGGAGGGGCGGCGCCGCCATTTTCTAACCCAGCCGTGGAATACAGAGCGGCTCCGACCGCCGACACAAAACACTCATTCAGTCTGATTCAGAACAAACTGTGAAGACCTGAGCTGATTTGTAAGTCTGAATGAGTGTCTGAGGGTTTGGACCGAACGTAAGAACGTCCTAAAGGAAAATATATTCCGCTCACTCCACTTTAAAACTTCAGTGTGTGTTCGGCCCTGAGAAAGCGTTCACACCCGCTGTTAAGATATGATCTGGATCCTGGGTAAGTTATCAGGAGAAACACACTTTAATGCATGTTTGGGTTCTGAGCACACCTGGAGTCTGGATCTGAGGTAGCAGCCTACAGTAAGCTGCATCCACACACAACATAACTCAAAGCCAGAGAGAAACCTGAAGAGACGCGCCTCTCATGTCTGATTACAGGTCTGTTCTGGGCCATGAAAGCACCAAAAGAAGCAGGATTCAACAGAACTGTGTGAAAAATGAAAGCGATACGGCTGTGAAATGAACGATAAACAGTAAGAAATGACTGTGAGCAGCTGTTCCTATACACCACCTGTCCAGAGAACACCCCCATGTTTGTAGTTCTTCTGTAAATCTAAGTAGTTCAAGTCAAGTGAAAATGTCACCAAAACAGACACAAATAAATTAAAAAGTTTTGTTCATTATTTCACTGTAGGATCAACTGATGACCAGCTGCTCTGCCTGCCTTCATTAAGATTTTATATATAATATATAATATAGTACACATAAAGCTCCTGAGATGGATTAACAGGCTGTTTACAAGGTGTTTACTATAGAAATGTGATTAATTTCCTTCCGCTGCTGCAGAATAACCAAAGAAGACAAAGTTCAGGTCAGCAGAGTTAACAACTTCAAATTCTTCTGCAGCAGTGGAAGGAAAGGAAGTACTGAATGTATTATTTCAATGTAAACTACAAACATGGGGGTGCTCTTTAACACTTTAGCGTATGTCAACACAGAGCAGCTGACACAATCATTTTTTATGCGAAGAAAGGTGCCTTTTGGTGTTCTTAATTTATTGTCTTGTTATGTTAATAAATTCCCCTGATTTGGTTGTTTTGAAGGTGTTTGTGTTAAGTTTGGGTCAGTGTTGGGGTGTTCTTCGCCCCGTGTTGCCACCAAAGGGTGGGGCGTAACAGAGTGTTTCTTAGCTTTAAGAAATTTTATAACTTGCTTTTATTCTTAAGGTTAAAAGTTGGAGTAAATTTCATGAATTCTCAGCACAAAAGACTAAGATGGCACTTTGAGAAGCTTGATAAATACGACAAAGTCGATCGTTTATTACCTGGATACAGATCAGGTTTTAATAGCGGCTGAAAATGTTCAATCAATGAAGATATAAACTTTCGCCTCTGATCACTGAAACTAAGTGCTGCCTACTGATGGAACTGCTAACAAGTCATGTGTTTAGACATTATTATGAAGTCTAGCAGGAAGTTTGACACACATCACGCAGCCGTTAACCAGAAAAAAGCAGATCAGAGAACCCCGTGGGGGTCCCAACCACATGTTGGGCTCCAGTGTTCTCTGTGATCAAAAACCATCAATAACTCAGGGTCGTTTTTAAGGAGCGTCTGACGAAGCTCGGGGCACGTTACCAACCTCCAAAATCAAAATGTATAAATACTAAATTAGATTTTGTTTATTTACACAATGATAAACTGCACGCCCAGAGGGCTGATGGGAAATCTCCTCCCAGTCTCACTGCTGCAGACAAAACAACTGACAGCTGAACATCAGCATCAATGAGTCACGTTTTAGGAGAGACAGGTTACACGTTAAAACACAGTGAGACAGATTCGGAGTCTCAGTGAAGTTCAATAAAGTCTGAATGAATCGTCTAGTTTTTACATTCAGGACCGAAACATTTGAAAAAGAAGAAAATGAGGAACTGATCCTCTCAGATCAACCTAATGATCCCGAGTGTTTCAGGTCTTACCCCATCACGGAGTCTGACGTGTAGCAGCTGAATGAAGGTGGTGATGAAGACGACGAAGCTTCTCTAACTTTCTGATCTGCTGCTGAAGAGTCCGGACAGTTTTTGTGGTGGAAATCAGCGACCCGATTGGATGATGGCGGTGTGATGTCACTGCTGATGCTCTTTGCTTGTATAATTCTGAATAAGTGTGGACGTGTTGCAGCGACCGAGGAGATGAATCTATCAATAGATCTGCAGACAGAACACAGAACACAGGCCACCAGCTGAGGGTTCCTCGGGGAGACCAATCGATCAGCAGACAGCAGGACTCTTTGATTATTCAGGCGTAATTTATTATTCCACCAAACACAGAAGTCCTGAGAGGAACTGAACTTTCAATAGGGACAACTCTAAACAGTGTGTGCATCACAGTCTGTGTTCTGAGTTTGTGGAAGGGATGGAAGCAGTTGCTAAAACAAGAGCGCACACGTTAAAAAGGTTAAAGAGTTAGAAAAACACTTTTTAAAAAGAAATGAGGATGAGGAGAGGTGGCTGAGTGTGGGTTCCTGGACTGACTGGGCTGATGGTTTGTCTGGTGTTTAGAATGACTGTATGTTGGTTCTCTTGCTATGAATACATATTAAATAATGATATATATCCAGTATATACAGGAAGTATTTAGAGTTGGATAAGGGCTGGGAAATATAACAAGCTTCTCCTTCGCTCCTATTCAGACATCTTGCACATATTGTTCATAACACTTCAAAGATATTCTTTTTCTTTTTGCATGCCGCAACAAACTTACTGTAATTTTCATATTTTCTTTTTCTTTTTGTTCGAAATAATGAAATAAAGAACAAAAGCAGGTCAACATCAGTAATAATTCGTCTCTTCCCAGCAAACTGAACAAACGTTCGGACTCAGGCGACGGACGACCACGACTGTTGTTCCATCAGCCAGGAGCACTATCGACCCAGGAGGCATCCATCACCACCTTGTTGACGAGCCCACAGAGGTTAAACAGCTGGGACTCCCTGAAGCCTCCTGGATGAGAGACGACGTGTCTTCAGGTATCTTCAGCCAGGCTGCCCTTGATTTAAACCTTTGATGGGGAACTTTTGCCTGGATGGCAGAGACGCTTTAATGTGTGATATTAGTACTTTTACTGAAGTAAATTTACATTGTAACAGAGTATTTTACACTCTGGTATTAGTAGTTTTACAGTAGTAAAATTTATCTGTACAGTGTGGTATTACTACCTTTACTGAAGTAAATTTACAGTGTGGTATTACTACCTTTACTGAAGTAAATTTACAGTGTGGTATTAGTACTTTTCCTGCAGCATCTGAATATTTCTTCAATCTGATATGACCTTGTTACAAACTGACTCCAGACCAGGATGCAGCTGCTGACCCACTGTGATATTTAAAACAACAGGTCAACGTTTGGGGACATTTTGTTTGAAGACTCAACACGTCGAGGTGCTGAAGGTGGATTCTTGATTGGACGAGGCCCGGTCTACGAACTCCAGGCGGTGTTTCCTGAGGGGACGACATGTGACGGCGTGGAGTTTTTGCCTGTAAAGAGCTGAGGGGAAGTCCACATGAAGGGTTCAGAGTCTTTCTGGGAAACCTTCATGTGACTGAGAGGATGACAGATTCTGGTTTAACCACTTCTTCATGCTGGATTTGGTGTTTCTAAGCAGAGGTGATGGAAAGTACAGAAGAAGTTCAGCCTCTGACGTATAAAATCATTATAATGAAAGTATAACTCTGGGGATTTTACTCTCTGTATTTTACTTATTGTCCTCAGATCTCATGTTTAGACTCAAACCAGCAGTGAAAGAATCGCCTAACGAGTCCTGATGTCTCCTCTTCCTCTGAAGCAGAGACACCATTAAACCAGTGAGCCTCACTGCTGCACTGGGTCACATGATCCTTCATCACCAAGAACACTCTGTAGTTTATTCTGGCTCAGTCCCACAGACCCCGTCCTGCTGCCCAAAATACTCACCAGAGCGCCACCATGAGGTTTGATGTTAAGTCAACATGTTCTCAGCTGAACGACCAGGTACCTTCAGGGTCCATACGAGACACCCTGGACTTAAAGCTAACTCCCCTGTATCATCAACTATCTGAAACCAAAAGCTAAAGTTATTTTATATTTCAACCAAGACCATGATCTTTCCTAAACCAAACCAAGACCACGATCTTTCCTAAACCAAACCAAGACCACGATCTTTCCTAAACCAAACCAAGACCACGATCTTTCCTAAAACAAACCAAGACCACGATCTTACCTAAACCAAACCAAGACCACGATCTTTCCTAAAACAAACCAAGACCACGATCTTTCCTAAACAAACAAAGACCCCGATGTTTCCTAAACCAAACCAAGACCCCGATCTTACCTAAACCAAACCAAGACCATGATCTTTCCTAAACCAAACCCAGACCATGATCTTTCCTAAACCAAACCAAGACCATGATCTTTCCTAAACCAAACCAAGACCACGATCTTACCTAAACCAAACCAAGACCACGATCTTTCCTAAACCAAACCAAGACCACGATCTTTCCTAAACCAAACCAAGACCACGATCTTACCTAAACCAAACCAAGACCACGATCTTTCCTAAACCAAACCAAGACCACGATCTTTCCTAAACCAAACCAAGACCACGATCTTTCCTAAACCAAACCAAGACCACGATCTTACCTAAACCAAACCAAGACCACGATCTTACCTAAACCAAACCAAGACCACGATCTTTCCTAAACCAAACCAAGTACACGATCTTACCTAAACAAACAAAGACCCCGATGTTTCCTAAACCAAACCAAGACCACGATCTTACCTAAACCAAACCAAGACCCCGATCTTTCCTAAACCAAACCAAGACCATGATCTTTCCTAAACCAAACCAAGACCATGATCTTACCTAAACCAAACCAAGACCACGATCTTACCTAAACCAAACCAAGACCACGATCTTTCCTAAACCAAACCAAGACCCCGATCTTTCCTAAACCAAACCAAGACCACGATCTTTCCTAAACCAAACCAAGACCACGATCTTACCTAAACCAAACCAAGACCCCGATCTTTCCTAAACCAAACCAAGACCACGATCTTACCTAAACCAAACCAAGACCATGATCTTTCCTAAACCAAACCAAGACCATGATCTTACCTAAACCAAACCAAGACCATGATCTTTCCTAAACCAAACCAAGACCATGATCTTACCTAAACCAAACCAAGACCATGATCTTTCCAAAACCTTTCACCAGTTAACGTCTCCGGTGGCGACTCACATCAGCCGCCATCTGCCTTCACCTTCAGACTCAGGACGTTTATATTTACGTTTTCTCTAAAGTCTTTCTAAGAATCAGTTTTTATTTCCTTTTTATTAGTTTAGTTATTTTAGTGAACTATGCTGCTCTCTGGATGACTGTCTGGTGTTTCTCAGTTGACATCTGATGTTGATGACTTTCCTGTAGATTAAAAGTGAACTGCTTCTTCGTGTAAATCCATTTACGATTTAACACAAACCCCTCTAGTGTCTGAGGAGGAACAGTCCTTCCCACAGTCAGCTCTCATGTGATGCTCTTCTTTTAATCCAGTCATGGATTTCTGATTGGAACGATACTGGAGCGAGATCATCTACAGATAAATCAGCGTTCAGACTCAGCTCGAGTCACTGAGACCGATTGATTAGGCGGGAAATGAAGCCATTATTGATAATCAACACATTGTTTGTGATTTGTCCAGACATGTTTAAAGACGTCACACTTTGCTGATACTTAAAGAGCAAACAATCAAAACATGATCCGTAGATTGATCAATGCTAGACCTGTAACGATTGGTCAATTCATTGAACTATTTTGATAACTGAATAATGGTTTTAGTCATTTTTAAGCAACAAAGCCAAACACCCGCCGGTTTCTGGCTTCTTAAATGTGACAGTTTGATGTTTTTCTAAGTCATACTTCAGGGAAACTTTCAGAAATACTTTATTGATCCCACGAGAGGAAATTGTTGAACATGATGTAACTGAACATGAAATTTGAAGGCATCGCCTCAAATTCACTTATAGATAAAATGATCAAAAGATTAACTGATAAAATAATAGGCAGATTATTCGATGATGAAAGCAACCGTTGGAGTATAAACATGATTCAGTCTTTCAAGGTTCAGCTTTACCGTCATTATAAATATTTATTTATTGGTCTGCAAAGTGTTCTGAGGTCTGCACTACGACCCGACGCTGAATAAGATGTTGGTCAGTGTGTTCACTGAACTGAAGTTGGTGAGTTTTTTCCCCAGATGAATGCCCGATGATAATGTCAGGGTTAGAGTTTGGGGAAAAAGATTAAAGTTGTAAATAACAGGAAAAAGTAATCACAAATCTACAATTAAAAAATTTGAATATTCTCCGACACATATAGTCAGACATTTATGAGAGAAACAACGAACCACATCACTACCCTTTGCTGCAACATCCATTCATTATGCATGCAGTGGAAAATTATATTATACTTCTCAAACAGATTTAGCAGTGAGGAAACACTCGTGATTTCAGCCCACATCACCGTATTATCAAATGCATCCTTGAACTGGGCGTATTCAGAAGAAATAGGATTTTTTGTGACTTTAATTTCAGGGAAGTTTTGTTCCTGTAAATTCATTTCGGCTCTGTGTTTTTACTGCGTAAAACAGTCAAGATAAATATGTGAAAACATTTAGGATCATTCAGTTATACAGATTCAGAATTCCATATGGATTCAAGTTAATCAAGAAGATCACCTGCTCGGAGCAGTTTAGAGATGTGGCGTAAATCACCATGACAGCAGACCTCGGGGTTATTCAGGTACACCTGACTTACTGTCTGTGTGTCAGTTGGACACTCCTGCCATGTGTTGTTTTATTCTGTGATATTAATCCTTGTGTGTTCATGTAAGCTGTACATCCGGTTTTATTTTGTAGTACTCTGCCTCAAGTGTTTTACTTCCTGTGTCCCTGTCTCATTACCCTGATTGTCCTCACCTGTGTCTTGTGTCCTCGCCCCTCCTGTGCAGATACAGCGGTTGTCTTCCTGTTGTTCGGTGCTTGCTCGTTGTCCTACTTGGTGGGCGGTTACCTACCTGTGTTTCACGTCTCGTGTTTCTGGTCGCTGGACTTAATGTTTGGGTTTATGGACTACGCTCAGTTGTTGATACTGTGTTTTCTGTCAGCTTCACCTCAGTTATATGTCGCTTTTCTGCAACTGCTCTCTAGTTGAACTTAACACATTATAGAACACAGGAAACTCCGCAGACACACATAATAAACACACATCGAAACGCTTACAACAGATTACAGCACTAAAATAGAAGCAAGTATGTGAAAGTAGAACTCTATTATAAGTAAGATAAACCGTTCTGATGTATTTGTTCCCTCACGTCTGCTCTGTAGGTCGAGGTGTCTCTGTAGCATCGCCACAGAGCTCCAGAGTGCAACCTAACAAATGTGACAGAGGAGGAGACAGAGGAGGGGACAGAGGAGGAGACAGAGGAGGGAACAGATGAGGAGGAGACAGAGGAGAAGGAGACACAGGAGGGGACAGAGGAGGGGACAGAGGAGGAGACAGAGGAGGGAACAGATGAGGAGGGGACAGAGGAGGAGACAGAGGAGGGGACAGATGAGGAGGAGACAGAGGAGAAGGAGACACAGGAGGGGACAGAGGAGGGGACAGAGGAGGAGACAGAGGAGGGAACAGATGAGGAGGGGACAGAGGAGGAGACAGAGGAGGGGACAGATGAGGAGGAGACAGAGGAGGGAACAGAGGAGGGAACAGATGAGGAGGGGACAGAGGAGGGAACAGAGGAGGGGACAGAGGAGGGAACAGAGGAGGGAACAGATGAGGAGGGGACAGAGGAGGAGACAGAGGAGAAGGAGACACAGGAGGGGACAGAGGAGGAGGAGGCAGAGGAGGAGACAGAGGAGGAGACAGAGGAGAAGGAGACACAGGAGGGGACAGAGGAGGGGACAGAGGAGGGAACAGAGGAGGGGACAGAGGAGGAGGAGGCAGAGGAGGGGACAGAGGAGGGGACAGAGGAGGGAACAGAGGAGGGGACAGAGGAGGAGGAGGCAGAGGAGGGGACAGAGGAGAAGGAGACAGAGGAGGAGAGACACACCAGACGTCATGATGAATAAGAAAGGAGGCGTGACACGCGGCGTCCATGGCTAACTTGTTTTTTATTTGCACGTCTGATTAGTGTGACAGAGCTAACACGAGGTTAGCGTCCAGGTCTACAGCAGGGGGCGCTCAAACACACTGAAGCTCCGAGGACATCAGACAGGAAGGAAACCGGCAAACATGTTCACATCTGTACAAATCTACAGTCCGAGCCGTCCGCGGCGTCCTCGGCACGTCTCTGACTCAAAGTTAGTTTCACACAGGTTATTCTTCTTCGCCACGTCGGCGAGCTGCGGGCTCGGCGGCGAGCGGGGTTAACGTGGGTTAACTCTAAACTGGGACTAACGTGTGCTCGTTAGACTACACCACTCAAAGGAAATATTCAAACATCCACTGGGCTTCAGAAAACAAACGGCTTCAGGCACTCCTGCAGGGAAACGCTTCACACGCCAGTGCAGGTCGGAGGAAGAGAAGGAACGTGACACAGGGGCACAGGAAGCGAAGAGAAGCTGCGGTTGCTGATGGTCTCCGCCCGGCGCCGTCGTCTCATTACCTCCGGGTTCATCAGGACGCATCTGACCTCGACAAACGGTCGTCTCGTCTCCCTGAAGCCTGGGATCAGGACGCGTTGATCGGCTTTTAGTTTCTCTTGTTAAGCCGCCTGCAGGGAGCTCGCGCCGGCTGCTTTGTTGGTCGGCGGTCTAAAGATGCTCGAGGCGTTCGCAGATTACCGTAAAACTTCAGTTAAAGCGTCCTAGTTAGACGCCGCTCCCATTTACTGGCCTGGTGTGGCTGCATGTTCTGGTCTCAGTTAGAAGCTGTTTGGATGTATGAAACCTCTTCAAGCTGCTTAGTGCACACCAAGGTAAATCTTTAAAGTATTTATAATGTAAACAATGAGCACTAAAGTGGTTTTCCTTCACATTTACTTACACGGTAAAGGAACAAGGTCGCAGATACAGGCTTGGTGATTTTAACAAATAAAAGCACAGGCAACCAGGTTTTATGGTAGTTTCA